TGTTAAGGACACAGTATATATCATGACACACAGACACACTCCTATCAGATCAGAAATACTGTCATCTCTATAGAGACATAAAGAGCTGTAGCTACTGAGATGCCTGGATTTGGGGCACAATCCCTGGCTTTCTTGCCATCCTCCCTGACAGGGTCCTGACAATGTTTCAACTTCCTATCTTGGCTGGTAATCGTTCCACAAAGAGCTAGAAATGGCAGGCAGACTTGTGGAAGAAGGAGGGAACTCCTGGCTCATCCACAGCCCCTTGTAGCCTCAATCGGATGTGCACTGGGAATCCTGGTGCTCCAGGTCCCTCCCTGATGGGCTCCAGATGTGCTCACATCTGGGAAGGCCATCCCAGGAAGCTGACACTCCCACTTACAGCTCCCACCCAGAGTCTCTCCTTTCAGCTTCCAGCCCTTCAACTAAGAAATGCCAGGGACTCCTTTCTTCTCCAGAGGTAGGGACTGTGGGCAAAGGGGAAAGAGTGAGGGAAAGAAATGGGGGTGAGGTAAGAAGAGCAAATCAAAGGAGGTCAGTGTTTAGAATGCCCCTGAGGTGACTCCCAAAAGGGCTGAGAAAGACAGACAGAAAGAAAGGAAGGAAGGGAGGGAGGGAGGGAGGGAGGGAGGAAGGAAGGAAGGAAGGAAGGAAGGAAGGAAGGGGGAGGGAGGGAGAGAGAAAGAGAGAGAGAGAGAGAGAGAGAGAGAGAGAAAGAAAGAAAGAAAGAAAGAAAGAAAGAAAGAAAGAAAGAAAGAAAAGGAAAACTGAAGAAAGTTGGAAGGGATGGTACTTCCTTCCACTGGGCCTGAACTTGTGCCTGAACTGGTCCCTTTTCTCAGTGTCCTTCAGTCCTACCCTTCTCCATCAATGTTCATTATTAGTCCCCATCCCTCCGTCCCTGCCCAGGCCAGGAAACTCCCAGTCTGGTGTCTGCATAACTATCTAGTCACCATTTTAGTCACTAGGGTCAGAGTTCCACAGCCCCCAGAGGACCTAAGCACTATCCCCAGGACTGCTCTTGTCCCCCGTGAACACTTTTCATCCACCTCCTCCTCCATCCTGAGACAAGTGGGGGTGGGAAGGACAGTGTAATCTAGGACTCTTCTTATTTTACTTCTGGGACATGAGGAGGGGTTTCTCCCGGGGCAGACGGGTGGGAGTGGTAAATGGTGACTCACAGATGATGGAGCCATCAGTTCCCTTAAACAGAGACCTGAGTCAGGGCAGTGACAGCCCTTGAGTTCAGAGGGCTTACTCTTGTACTTTCCCACTTCCCTCTCTTACAGACAACAATGCCCCAACTTCAGCAGGCTTCTATGGTAGCAGGTTCCTGCTCTGCTTCTGCAGATCAGCCTCCCCTCAGCTTCATCCTCTTCAGGGACGCCTTTCCTTCCTCCAAGGCGGTTTCACTCCAGCTCAGGACCCAGTCTCTCCTGTCTCCTTATTCACTGAACTGTGTCATCTTTTTTGAGAACATTAAGTCTGAACAATCCCTCAAGTAAAAGAGACTGCTCTGGCAGTCCTGGGGTCTCGGGTAGTGAATACCCATTTCTCAATGCTTCCAGAGCTGGAGAGTCAGTCTGTCCTAGCACACCTATGAACCATTTGTGTTCAATTATACCAGAGAAAGGAGGGTTTGGGGCAGGGGCAAAGGGGATTGGTTACAGGGTTTTAATTTTGTTGTTGTTGGGGTTGGTTTTTGTTTTCTTGTTGTTGTGTTTTGGTTTGTAGAAACAGGATTTCACTGTGTAGCCCTGGCTGTCCTGGAACTCATCCTGTAGACCAGGCTAGCCTCAAACTCTGAGATCCCACTGCTTCCCACTCCCTAGTGCTGGGATTAAAGCTGTGCCACCACTCGGCTAGGTTATGGATTTTTCAAGAAAAGTTTCACTGTGTAGTCTAAACAGGCCTAGAACTCACAATCCTCCTGCCTCAGTTTCCCAAGTGCTAGGATTACAAGCATGTGCCAGTCAGCCCAGCTACTGATAAAGAGCTCACAGCCCTTATCCAGCCATGCTTTCTACAGGCCGCTAACCCTAACCCTACTTCTTAAACTCAGTGCTCTCCATTTACATGCATCTGAGACTCTGGAGGAAGCTGAGGAGTCTTACCCTAGAGAAATCACACTCAGACATAAAAACCTTTCCCTTGGATTGCATACAATCCTCCTCTCACCCCACCCCATGGACAGCAGGTCTAGATTAAGATCCTGCTCCCCGCTCCCCATAGGGCACAGCTTTGGAGAGGGCTAGCACTGGTGGAGCAAGCCTCAGAAAGCCCTGGGATGCTTTGGGTGCTCCTCTGCCTTTCTCTTTGTGTGATGTTGCTGGCTACTCCTCTGGGTTTCCTAAGAGTAAAATTAGAGCCACCATACACCTTCAATGCTGAGCCTTCGGGAGAAACAGCTTAAAACTCAGCCCAGAACCCAGCATGTGTTAGATGAGCCATTGCTGTTTCTCACGCCAACCTGGCTGTCAGAGCTTCCCATGACTCCTGACTTCGGGCTTTGTATGTGCATCTGCATTCTTCTGTGGAAATTCACTCTTCTGCTTCTAAACTTGCAGCCTTCAAGGCAGTCAAGCTGCTGGCAGCAGAAGCTTGGTGAGTGTCCTGGTCTTGTCCTTCACCCACTGTGTCTCCATCATGGAGCACAGCAAATCGTTATCACTGAGCCGCAGGACAGAGCCTGCCAGAGATGTCAGATCTGAGAAGGGAACCAGAGATAAACAGAGGCCCTCAGACTGACCAGAGAGGTGAGATACAAAGCAGAGAGAAAAAGGTTGAGAAGAGACTGAGAGACTGAGGACCCAGGCAGTGGGCTCAGAGGAGAGGCATGGGTTTGGAGTCAAAGCACCCAAGTCAAGTTGGGCTGGCAAAATGGTAAAGGTACTTGTTATCCCAAGTTTGATGACCTGAGTTTGATCCCAGGAATCCAAATGGGGAAATAAGAGAACCAACTCCTTAAAATTGTCCTCTGACCCATTCATGTCATCTGTGCATGATCCCACACACAAACAGAAAACAACTGCAAAAAACCAGCCCTCGGGTCTGAGACTCTCCACGGTTAGCCATGTGACCTAGACCAAGTTATCACTCTCTAGCAATTTTCTCTTCTGAAGAAGGTTGGATGGAGAGCCTCTGGGGATCCTCTCTAACTGGCCTGGAGGGGATGCTGAAGCACTCCCAGCAGGAAGAAATCCCAGTTCAGATTCAACAAGAAGCAGGTGAAAGGGAAGCTAACTAGGCAAAGGAAAATAAGACAAGTGAGCAAGCTCGAGGTGTTGGGCCACTGGGTGAGGACTTATAAGGGCAGGGAGAGCCAGGAGAGGAGGAATATTGGGGAGAGTAGAACAGCTAGCCAGAGAATGACTAAGGGGCTCCTGTGTAAACAGGAGCAAGGAATGAACAGGGAGGGGGCCTGTTTAAGTTGGCCAATGTTGGGGGATTGAGGAGGAGGACTAGGGCAGGACACTATGTCCCCTGTCCCCCACCAAGGCTCCTGGGAGAATCTGAGTCACACACCTCCCTAGCTGTACACTCCCCTCCTTTTCCCAGCTCCTAAATCCTGGGAAAAAAATCTAAAGAGGAGAGAGAGAGAGACAGAGAGAGAGAGAGAGAGAGAGAGAGAGAGAGAGAGAGAGAGAGAGAGTCTGGGTTGAGAAAGGAGAGGGCTGGATTCAGACATGTGGAACCCAAGGTTCAATATGAAACTCTAGAAACAGTAAGGCTCCATCCTTCTCTCAAGGGAGAGGGTTCCCCTTGGCTGGTCTCACCCACCAGAGATGACCTTTGGGCACAGCTTGCTCAGATCCTGACCAACAGATTCCTTGAGTTCCTAACCTGTCAAAGGGTCAGAACCTTCAGATGTGAAAGTTGGATGGAGCCACCATGACTGTCCCAGGGCTGCAGCTGGCTCTGCTGATGCAATTCTAAACACCTAGCAGGGTGACTGGGAATAGGAAGCAAGGTAGCAGAGAGACTGGATGAGGGAAGCACATGGCAGGAAGAAAAAAATTGACTCTGGGACTTGTATTTAGAAATCCCACAGGCCACAGTGGAGCAAAAGAGAAGGGCAGAGGAGGCACGATTTAACTTTGGGGGCATTATTCTAGAAGGGGAGAAGTCCTGGAGGAAGAAGGCAGAGAAAGGAGTAGAAAGGGAAGGCGATTAGGAGAGACTCTAAGATTCTCTTCCCATCCCCGGACTAAGATAAAGACTAGGATCTTGCCTGATGTGCCCTACTATAAAGGTACCTCCACTTACTAAAACCCCTTCCTCTACTTACACAGGCCATGGGGGTGACCAAGATGGCCAATAGAATCTGAAAGTTGGTTCCCTTTGAAGACTCCCCACGCCACCCTTTATATGTTTCTGGGATTTCTCCAGGAAATCAGGCAACCTAATGAAGTCACTGAAGAGAGGGCTGGCCACTTGGCGAGATGCCAAATCCAAGAAAGGGCCATTACAGAGACTTCCAAACCCTATATTAAAGAGAACCAGAGAATTGAGACCCAGTGCTCCCGTGTCAGAGACCTCAAACTCCTGTTTTATCAGCTTGGGAAGTGGCAGCCGCGGAACTCCCGCAGTCAGCGAAGTTGCTCCAGCAGGCTGCCTGGAAGCACTCAGTGCCTGGGCTGAGAGTCCCTAATCCAGCTGGCCCGAACCCAGGCACCCAGTGGCCCCGGAAGGCAAGGGGGAATCCCTGTTGGCTGGATGCCAGAGGAGTCCCTTGTCTCTCGACCCCAAAGCTTCTTTCCTGAATAAGTGAGGGAGACCCCCACACACACTGTTCAGGCTCCCTCCGCCCCTCAGAGGTGATTCCTTTCCTCATTAGGAAATTCTCTGCTCCCATTTTCCAACTACTTTTCCGAGCGTTTACGCTGTACATCTGGAAAGGAGTGGGGGGGGGGGGGAAGGAGGGGAAGCAGAGAGGAGGGCGAAGAACCCGAGCCCGCCCAGTCTGAGCCAGGCCAGACCACCGGTCTCCAGCTGGGGCCGGAGCCAGGGGTTCAGAGGTGCGGCCCCCTTCGGGGTGCGGGGCGCGGCCTCGGCGTCCCGGGGACCCAGGAATGTCCCCCCGCCAGCCGGCCCGGCGGCCGGGGGGAGGGCCCAGCCGGGAGTTTGGCAAACTCCTCCCCGCGTTGAGTCATTCGCCTCTGGGAGGTTTAGGAAGCGGCTCCGGGTCGGTGGCCCCAGGACAGGGAAGAGCGGGCGCTATGGGGAGCAGGACGCCACGGTCGCCACAGTCTCCTCTCCACGCGGTGCCGCTGCGCTGGGGGCCCCGCGCCCTGCTGCTGCCGCTGCTGCTGCTACTGTGGCGGCCACCACTCCAGGTTGGGGGCTTCAACCTAGACGCGGAGGCCCCAGCGGTGCTCTCCGGGCCCCCCGGCTCCCTCTTCGGCTTCTCCGTGGAGTTTTACCGGCCGGGAAGGGACGGGTGAGTGGTGAGGTTGGCGGCGGGAAGGGGGCAGGGGGCCACCTGGAGATTGGGGGCGCGCCGGAGTGTGGAGGCGACCAAGACTTGAGTTTGAGGGCGGAGTTTGAAAGAACTAGAACTGGAGTTGGGGGCCCAAGCTAGAATTGGGGGCCCGCGCTGGAGCAGGGAAGCACCGTGGCCGACGTGGAGTGTGAGATCAGTGTCGAGACTTGTGGCATGAGGAGAGGACAGGAATCTAGAAGCTGGAGAAGTGCAGGCAGGGACTCGGGGCCAACCGGGAGGAGAGAGCGTAGAAAACTCAGGGTCTCTGGCGATTTGTGGGCTGCTGGGGACCTGTGGTGGGTGGGAGTCGAGGGGGGCGGGGAGGCCGGTCCTTAGGGAGCACTGGAGGAACTTCGAGATCCTCCGTGGGGCCATTGAGAGGTTGAAGCTGGGTAAGCGCGTGCACTAAGAGGGAAGACAGACTGAGAGGGTCGGGAGGTTATGTGGGGGCCAGTCTCATCCTCCCCTCCCCCATCAACTCAGACTGAGACCGGGAAGGACAGAGGCTACCTCCCCTTTCTCTTCAGTCTCCTGCGTCGCCTCCCACCCTCAATCTCTTCAGGCGAGGAGATCCAAAAACTTAGGGAGAACCCCTGGATCCTGGCACTGGGGGAACTGGGACTAGGGGCGGGATCGGCCCAGGGCGGTGCACGGATGTGTCGGGAGGGGTGTGTGCGCGCGCGCGCGCCTGAAGGGGGGTGGGCGGTTTCCCTCTAGCTCCAGCTCTTGGGAGGAAGAGAAAAGCTGATTTCCTGTAGCAGTAGTTGAACTGAGACACAGACTTCTGGGACCAGGGTCGGAAGCTGGGGAGACGCAGGCTCTCTGGGCCCAAGAGCATCAGAACGAAGGTTCCTGAAAACCTCCATGGAGAATCCTTATTTCCGGGTAATAAGCAGACCCAGACTCTTAGTGCCCACAGGCTTGGAAATCAGAGTTAGAGCCCACATTGAAACAAGTAAGAGGAAGGTGACAGTCCCAGCTGCTGGGACAAGGAACCCCACATGCCAGATTGCTGAACCCCTTCGATGACAGCAGTAGTTGTTTCTCCTCTACCTCCAAGCTCTGAGCCTCCCTCTGCCCACAGATCTCCCCGCCTGAGATCTCAGGGCTTGATAGGACCTTTGTCAGAGGTGAGCTGATTTTAGCTATCTGTTTAACTAGGGGGTGGTGGAGGCGGCTAACTCTAGCTAATTCAATTGGGGAAGGGACAGTTTTCTACTTTGTCTGGAGGACTTAGGGATGGAAAAAAGATAACTAGGCCCCAGCCGTTGAATTTGGGCTTTTCAAGGTCCCCACCCCACACCCTGGCCTCTTGCCCAAACCTCATTGCATCACACTATCCTGGAGTCCCTGCCAGGCCTTGCCTCCTCCGGTCCCCTAAACCTCTTACCACAACCATAACGGAGGGAGCAGAAGTGGTGGAGGGGCTATAGGATGATTTGGCTCTTCAGGGTGTTCAACTGTCTGGCTTTTTATTTCTCCCTTATTTCCATCCTATCCCCAACAAAACTGGCAGTTCTCTGAAAACTGACGCATCTGTTGGACTTTGCACTTCTTGTCCCCTAGGTGTGCTTCTGGCCCCTGGCCTGATCCTTCAGTCCCTGAGGCTTCTTCTAAAAGAGGACCCAGCCTCTCCATCCCACCCCCACCCTGTTCATGCTCTGCTTTGCTCTGTGTGTAACCCTCTTAGAGCGTTCTCCCTCCCAGCGCCTGTGTGCTGGCCTTGGCCTCTCCTTCATGTGGGAAAACAGCCCTGTGGCTGTGGTCTCAGTGTTCCTAGTTTCTCCTGCATCACCCCTCGCATTGAAAAATGACGAGGACAAGGTGAGCACTGCAGAGGTTGCCACGAAGTCGTGGGTGTGAGTGCTCACACTCACCCAAGAGCTGGGACTTGAGCAAGTCCAGCCTTCCCCTAACTGAATGAGACAGCATCTAGGAGGTGGCTGCCCACATGCAGGCAGCCTATGCAAAGCACGAATTTGATGGGGAGAGTCTGGGTTCTGAATTTTTTTTCTGGCACCAACCTCATTCATTTTGTTTTCCTCAATTTCTGTCATTCATTCATTCATTCCCAAACTGCAGCCAAGAATGACCTTGAATTTCTGCTGCTACCTCCAGAGTGCTAGGATTGCAAGCTGGCTCTGCCACACCCTCCACACACCCAGTTTATGGAGGTTGAACCCAGGGCCTCTGTGCTTGGCGAGCAGTCCACCTGGCACCACTCATCCCCAGTGCTCACATGCTTGGAGCACTGCTAACAACTGTAATAGTGGCAATAGTCCCTCACATTCCTCTTACGCTTGATATCAATTTCTCATTGGATTATTACAAAATTCCTGTGTTGATCAGAGAAAATATTATTGCTTCAGAAGTCATAAAATTTAGTTCTAGAAGTTAGTTAGGGACCATCCAAAAGCAACTCATCATTGAGAGAGAGAATTTAAGGCTAGAAGAGGGAAAGTGGCTTTGCCTAGGACACTTAAAGCTAAAAAAGTGAGCCAGTCTGCTGGAGGCAGCTCTTCAGCCAATCAGTACAGCCCTTTGGAATGTACTTGGGGTTCCAGAAGCAGGTGTCCCCCTCTGGCCTGGCTAAGGGTGAGGTAGAATCATGGGAACTGGGCCCTGGCCCACCTGCTCTCTCCTCTGACCTTGTCCAGCCAAGGGAGTCAAACAGTAACTGAATATTGAACAGGGACTGGGTTAATCAAAAGCCTGGTTGGGGAGATAGTGAAGAAGAGAGGAGGGGATGTTTTGGCCGTGGGGCAGGGCAGAACACTAGCCTCAGAGCCAGGCTCCCAGGCTTCTGTTCACTTCCTGGGAAAGATTCTGAGCATCCCTGGATGGCTATGACTTCTCTTGACTTAATATTCCCATCTGTCAAATAAGGACATCAGGGTAGGTCGGCAGTTTGGGGACTTGTTGAAGAAAGTCAGGACTGCGTAGCCTTAGTTTACTGCCTGCAGCAGCAACTGGGCATCTGCATTAGTCCTGAAACAGTGGACATTCTGGGCAGTGGCTATTTGTCTCCAAAGACCAACCAGACCCCCTGAGCTCTAAGGCTTCTGCAGAAATGACGGCAAGCATTTCTTCCCCTGGACTCCGGAACAGAGTCTACTGCCAGCCTGCATCTAGTGGGAGATAATTCACCGTTTTTCATCGTTTACAAACCAAGAGTATCTATCTATAGCTGCCCATCAGAGTTTCTGACCAGAGTTGATAACCAGGCTCCTCAAACAAGCTGGTGCTATGCCAGTACAAAGCAAATGCATTTGAAGTTTTAATTAGCCTGGTATGCCTTGTCAGGTAAATGCATGATCTCCCTTAGGCTTTCTGCAATGTTGAAAACAACCCAAGGAGCCTCCCTGGGGACCCTCTTGGATCACTTTGAGGATTCTACTGCTGCAGGGTTTAGGAAGCATCAAGTGGGATAAGACGGGTAAATAAGCCTTGTGCCTCGGCTGGCATGTGTAGGTGCTAGAATGAGGACTGTTGAGATGGCCATACCCATGCATGGATCGCGTGGGCTGATCTGGATCCATGTCCCCAGCCTGCATTCTGGGATCCTCGAACCTTCACAGAGCAAACAGATATTCCACCGGCCGTGGATTTACAGGGCTTCTCAGTTCCTCCACAAATGCAGGTGGTATGGGAGAAGCCAGAGAAAGAGAGGAAATCCAAGCCCTGCTGAGCTAGAGCAAGAACCAGAGCTCCAGCTCCTGACTCCTGTGCTGCGCCCTCACTGTCTTCACTGTTGGCTTCGTACGGGGTTTCCCTGTGCGACTCTGCTATCCCGGAACTCCCTCTACTGTGGACCACCACTGCCACAGGCCTCAGAGAAGGAGCACACTCCTCTCTCCCCTGGGGCTGCAGCTTCTCAGTGTTGTCAGCATTCTCACCTGAGGTCACTGGGCCCTTGGAATGGTGGCTCCAACCTCTAATTGGCCTTAATTCCTGAGTGAGAGAGAGGTGAGACCCAGTGGGCGGGAGACAAATGGAGAAAAGTGAGGCTGGAAACTGACAGGAAGCCACAGGCAGTAAACATTTCCTGTCCCCTGGGCGAGTGAGGCTGGCACCTCCTCTCTCCACTCTGACTTCAGGCACCTCCTGTCCAGTCCCCACTCCTGTTCCTCCGGCCCTGCTTTCTCTCACCTCCGCTCTCACATTCCCTCCAAATCCTTGGTGTCCTGGGGACAGTCTTCCCTGCTGCAGTCACTTATGCCTCTTAGACCCTGACCCGCCCTCAGTATATGTGACCCTATTGGAAGACAGCCCCGCCTTTCTTAGACCCTGACCCGCCCTCAGTATATGTGACCCTATTGGAAGACAGCCCCGCCTTTCTTAGACCCTGACCCGCCCCTCAGTATATGTGACCCTATTGGAAGACAGCCCCGCCTTTCTCAGACCCTGACCCGCCCCTCAGTATATGTGACCCTATTGGAAGACAGCCCCGCCTTTCTTAGACCCTGACCCGCCCCTCAGTATATGTGATCCTATTATTGGAAGACAGCCCTGCCTTTGTGGCCTCTGCTAAGTCTCTTCTTGGGCCCACAATTCTAGTGATAAAGGTTGTGGAACCGCAAGAAAAGGGGTATTTTTGGGAGTGTTGAAACCTAAAAGACAACAGAAACCATTAGAAGTAGAGAGCCCTAAGACCTGAGATCAAAAAAGAAGCAAGAAATGGCTCAGCAGTTAAGAGCACTGGCTGCTCTTCCAGAAGACCAGGGTTCAATTCCCCAGCATCCACCTGGGGAGCAGCATCCTGACTGCTCACAGCTCCAGTCCCAGGGGATCCAATGCCTTCTTCGGGTCTCCTCTGGAGCCAAGTGCCCACACAGCACACAGACATTCAGGGAAAATGTCCATGCATGTTAAATGAATAAATAAAAAGGGAGAGACCCAGTAATCTAAATCAGGAGAGCAAGCAATACTGTGGACAGACAGGCAGAGAGGTTGAGGAGCAAGCCAATGGCAGCAGGGGAGGAGAGCAGAGGCCAAGGCTGGCCGGGACACTGGCCCAGAGTTGGGGGTGCCAGGGAAAGCTGCCCAGGCTTACAGACGCAGTGCTTGCAGGGGATCCTGAGGAAAGCGCCTAGAGAGGACTGGGCTGTGGCTGTGTGGAGGACTCCATCTCAGACGTGTGTGTCCAGGAAGAGCAGCCAACAGAACAGGATTTGAGTTCAATCTTCTGGGGCTGCTTTGTGGTAGAGAGGTAAAAGTGAGGCAGAGCCCAGCAGGAAGGCTCGAGCCGCAGATGGGGCAGACCAGGTCCAGGAAACAGCTTCTCTCCGCATCTGCCTGGTTCCCAACGCATTTTCCTCCTACATGCCCCAAGACTAAGTGGCCAGTCGCCTGGGCTCCAGCCCAGAGAGAAAATTTGGCTTGGGAAGAGAGGGTACACAGTAGGTGAGGACCCCGAGGCTCCACAGGAACGTGGAGTTCTAGGGCTAAATTGTCCCTTTGATAAGTATTTTCAAGCCATTTTCAAACAAGGTTCATACTTTGCATTTAGTACTATTTTTTGTTTGTTTTGTCTTGTTTCGTTTTTTCCTGATGCCAAGCACACCCTCAACCTCTGGGCCGCAGCTTCAGTTCACAGGTCTGGGCTAACCTTGGCAGGTAGACGGAAGAAATGGGGAAGCTGGAGTCCAGACCCTCTATCCCTCCTTCCTTTTCCAGGAACTGATTCTGGTTCCTTCTTGTAGTAGAAGAAGGTGGGAGGATGTGGGAGGAGGGAGGAGCCGAGTTAGTGACAGCAGCACATGTGGACGCCTGACTCCAGCCCCAGCCTCTGGCATCTGTGGCATCTCCTGAGATATAAATACAACCCAGGGACATCTACCCCACCCCCATTCTTGGCCCAAAGGTCTAGGTGCATCCTGCCACCCGAGACTGACCTGGAAATAGGACCCTTCCTAATGCCTTCTCCTTTCCCCTTCACAGGGTCAGTGTGCTGGTGGGAGCACCCAAGGCTAACACTAGCCAGCCAGGGGTACTGCAGGGTGGTGCCGTCTACATCTGTCCGTGGGACAACAGCCCTACCCAGTGCACCACCATTCAGTTTGACAGCAAAGGTAGGCTGGAAGACTTCAGGGAGGGCCCAGTTCTGGTGCTCCATTTCCTAGCCGTAGGCTTCCTGTGGCCCTCACTTCATGCTTTCAGCCCAGCCCAAGGATGGCAGGCATGATTCAGAAACATGTGGCTCTCATTTCCACTGAATCACCCACAACTCTGGGAGGCCAGGGCCATAACACAAAACACAGAGGAGGCTTGAAGAGGGTTCTATTCCTAAGCTAAGTGATAGTGCACATCAGCTATAGTGTGCTTCAGCTCCCTAGGGAGCTCAGCCCTCAGGCAGATGACCTGAGGGAGCTGAGGATATTCAACCAGCACTCGGAGAGTGTTTGTTCCATGCTAGGCACTAGCATGAATGTGTTGGCTCACTTGAGCAACTGTATTAGTAGCCCCATCCTGCGAGGGAGGAAGCAGAAGTTAAGCCACCCAGCTAGTAAGAAAGCAAGGCTATGAACTCAGGCAGTCTGTCAACACAGATAAGGACTGGAGTAAGAGGGCAAGAAGAAGTAAGCATAAAAATGTGGAGGCCAAGCCAGGCATGATAAAGCACAGCTTTAATCCCAGCACTGGGTTTGGGCAGAGGCATTTGAATCTCTGAGTTTGAGGCTACCCTGATCTACAAAGCGAGTTCTAGAATAGCCAGAGCTACACAGAGAAACCCTGTCTTGAAAAATAAATAAATAAATAATGTTTGAGGCCAGCTGGTTTCTGAAAGGGTGCTAGGTACTGAACCGAAGTCTTATGCACACTACCCATATGCCGTACCACTGGGTTACAGCCTCTGTTCTGAGCAGGCTGGCTTTTAGAAGCCTAAGAGAGCTCAGGAGACTAAGGTAGGAAGATTGCCAAAAGTTCAAGGCCAGCCTGGGCTACATACTGAGACACTGTCTTAAAACAAATAAAGAAATAAAAAGCCTGAGAGACAGGTGGAGAGTAAACAATGCTCGGAAGGCAGCGGTCCAGAGGGCGGCGTTTGGACGTGGGAAGAGGCTGTTGGAGGCAGAGACAGGGCTGGTGTACAGACAGAAGTTAGCCATGGGACTCTGCCAGTCTTCCCCAGCACCACAGTGCAAATTTCTGCTACAGCTAAAAGGAAACCAGAGAAACCAAAGAGACAACTTGGCAAGGGCTCAGGGTTCAGGGTCTAGAAACACTGAGCATCCTGGGTCAAGACTGAGGGTCACCTTTCTGAGAGCCGGGGTGATGGCCTCCTTTCAACCTCCCCAAGGTTCCCGGATCCTGGAGCCCTCACTATCCAGTGCCACGGGAGAGGAGCCTGTGGAGTACAAGTCCTTGCAGTGGTTCGGGGCAACGGTTCGAGCCCATGGCTCCTCTATCTTGGTGAGGCACCAATGGGTCCTTGGTGGCTAAGAGCTGAGCCGTGGTGGAGAAAGCCAGGCCTGGTCTAAACCTGAACCCCCTCTGGGCCCTCTCAGGCATGTGCTCCACTGTACAGCTGGCGCACAGAAAAGGAGCCTCAGCACGACCCCGTGGGCACCTGCTACCTCTCCACAGACAATTTCACCCGGGTTCTGGAGTATGCACCTTGCCGCTCAGGTAGGGGCCAAGTGACACGAGCCACTGCGCCTTCTTCATGAGAGGGTGTCAGGTGCTCGGTGTCTCTCCTCGTGGCCACCAAGCATCAGATCGACGTTTTCAAGGCTGCTCTCCCTGCCAGCACGTCTCTGCACGGCTCACTCATCTCACCATCTTCTTCCCTCATAGATTTCGGCAGCGCGGCAGGGCAGGGCTACTGCCAAGGGGGCTTCAGTGCTGAGTTCACCAAGGTGAGAGGTGATTGGGGAGGGAGGGCAGTGGATGAGGATCCAGGATCAGCCCCAAATGGTGCACTCATCCCCTCTTCCTCTCACCTCCCCATAGACCGGCCATGTGGTCCTGGGTGGTCCTGGGAGCTACTTCTGGCAAGGTAAGCCCTTCCTCTGCCCTCTTCAGGCCTTGGCACCGCATTCTTTCCCCACTCTAGGTCTGAATCACTAATCCTTCCCTTCTCCACTCCTCAACTTCCAGTTCCACTTCCAGACCCCCTTCTACTCCATCCTCCACATAGTCCGTTTTCTTGATCCAAACTCACAAAATCCTACTCAGTTCCCCTAAAGCCCTAAAGCCCTCCCCCTGCCTATCACCCTGCTCCCCTTCCAGGCCAGATCCTGTCCGCCACTCAAGAGCAGATCTCAGAGTCCTATTACCCAGAATACCTCATCAACCCGGTACAGGGGCAGCTACAGACCCGCCAGGCCAGCTCCATATATGATGACAGCTACTTGGGTAGGCGAGCCCGTAGGGAGAGAATGGGTGGGGAGTTCAGGGCCTTCTGCCTCGCTCAGCCCTCCTCTGCTTCTCCCAGCTGAGGGTTAGAGAACAGGGGTCTCAGAGGAGGCGATGCTAACATCCTCCCACTCTGTCCCCAGGGTACTCTGTGGCCGTGGGTGAATTCAGCGGTGATGACACTGAAGGTGAGTGAGTGCCCACATTAGGCCTAAAGGGGAGCTAGAGAAAGCTCCAAACACAGCAGTCAGAGTCTGCCCCGTCCTTCCCTCAGCCCACCAGTTTCTCTTCTCTTTGCAGACTTTGTTGCTGGTGTGCCCAAAGGAAACCTCACCTATGGCTATGTAAGACCCCGCCTACCATCTCCTGCCTCTCACCCTGGCTCAGTGCAGAGCCTTGCATAGCAATGTGTGGGGGCCTCAAAAAAAAAAAAATAGATCAGAACATAGGCTCTGGGGAAAAGAGATAGGATTTCAGAAGTCTAGTTCAAGGAAAGGAAGCTGTGAAGTCAGACTTGGGTTTAGATTCTGGCACTGACTCTGGGTAAGTTCGTCTGTTCTTTTATTGCTACACTGTCCCCTGCTTAACCTCTCTAAGCTGCTTCTTCCATGTACAATGGGGTAATAATAGTTCTGACCTCATCAGGCACTTGCGAACTGGTAGGTGGTGTTGGACAGCCAGTTGCTATCATTAGACCACCATGAGAGCCCAGACAGATGAGTGCCACACACGGCTGTTTGATTAATAGCATTTATTAAGGAAAGATGAGGGATGAGACAAAGGTATCTTATCCCATCTCATCAGGTGCTTCTAGTCGAGTACATGGGATGAGACACGCAGCTGTCATATTGATATCCACCGTCCATGAGCCTTTCAATGTCCCAGGCACTAGCCATTCACGATGGCGGAGCACAGCCTTGACAGTCTCCACAAAAACTATGGTCCTAGGATACCAAGCGTGTTGCTTAGGGGCAGCGGAATAAATATTTAATAGCTACCATACTCCCAATTCCACACTCCTTCTGAATGGGAAGTTCCTGAAAAGCAATTGAGGTAACCTAACACATTTTAGGATAGCAGTACCCTCCTTTCAGAGAAGGCTCTGTGAGGGCTCTGTACACATGGGACAAGAGGGAGTGCCAGGCACAGGCATGAAGAACACAGAGTAGGAAATTGGAGTGAGTTTGTAGCCTCACAAGCTAAAAGAGGGTGAGAAGAGAAAGGTGGATTGGACAAGCACAGGCAGTGGGAGCAAACACCAGAGATTTGGAGGACCAGCCACTAGACAGACCGACAGTGGCCACGGAGCGTGCATAGGTGGGAGTGACTGGCATCTCTGCCAGTGGGGAAACCCAAGGCACAGAGGCTCATACTGGCTCTCAGCCAAGCAACAGGGCAGAAAGCAGGATCCAAGAGACTTGGAGTTCTGCGGGGCCAGTGCTCAGAGGAGACAGATGGAGTGGCTAGTAGACACTGGTAGGTCTACTGGTAGGTGGCTGAAGTCTTGAATCTGTTGGGTTTAAAACCCCAGTGTGTTTTTGGTATCAGCTACTGTTCACCTGCTGCTTGCCAAGTTCTTCTTTAGTCTCTGGGAGGCAAAAACCCAAACAATGCTCCTGGTTCCACTGATCTTACATTATAGTGACTAGAATCTACTGGGTAGAGATGAAAATCCATAAGAGATATAAAGGGAAAAGGCAAATCAGCGGGGGCTGGAGAGATGACTTGGCTGCTTCTCCAGAGGTCCTGAGTTCAATTCCCAGGAAGCACATGGTAGCTCATAACCATCTGGTGGCCTCTTCTGGCCTGCAGGCAGAATGCTGTATACATTATAACACTGTATACATAATAATAAATAAATCTTAAAAAAAAAAAAAAGGCAAAACAGCAAGGGGGTAGAGAAAACCTGTAGGTGGAGGGAGGGCAAACTAGGAAGGAGTCAGAAGCGCTAAGGAATGCCTGTCCCATGTGTCCCAGATCTTCGACTGTGGGGCATTCAGGCCCTTTCTCTTCACCTTCAGGTCACCGTCCTTAATGGCTCAGATATCCACTCCCTCTACAATGTCTCAGGAGAACAGGTGAGGACACCCTAGCCTCCACCAGGTTGTGGACCAATAGTGTCAAACTCTCCACCTCTCTGGAGCTCCTGAACGTCCGCTCATAGGTCCTCGTTATCCTTTTACCGACTGAACCTTGTTCTTTGTCCCCACAGATGGCCTCCTATTTCGGCTACGCTGTGGCTGCCACTGATACCAATGGGGATGGGTGAGTGCTGGGAGAGGGCAGTGCAGGCAGAGTGCTCCTTGGAAGTGTTTTCTATTCACAGAGGGGAGCCTGGGGATCCAGAATGCCTGGGATTTCCTGGATGGGGCAGTAAATGGTGGCAGGACAAGGTTATCAAGATGCTTGGGTCTGCCCTTTTCCTCAGGCTAGATGACCTGCTGGTAGGGGCACCCTTGCTCATGGAACGGACAGCTGACGGGAGGCCTCAGGAGGTGGGCAGGGTTTACATCTACCTGCAGCACCCAGCTGGCATAGAGCCCACACCCACCCTCACCCTCACTGGCCAAGATGAGTTCGGCCGATTTGGAAGCTCCTTGACACCTCTGGGGGACCTGGACCAAGATGGCTACAATGGTAAGCATCATGGCCCAGGGGGCTGAGGCGGGGAGTGGGGGGTGGAGGATGGGGGAGTGGGCTGATCAGGAACTTAGGGGGAGGGTTTCTGTCAACTAAACTAACTACCCAGGCCCCCTTGACTTCCCACGGGTATTGGGGTTTAAAGAGATTTAGAACAGGAATTGACGGGTAGGTGTGTGGGGAGTGATATCCGGAGGTTTTGTGGTAAGGATTTGGAGCCCTGACCTCCTGACTTGACGACAAATGTGTGTTATGTCTTGCAGATGTCGCCATTGGAGCACCATTTGGTGGGGAGACCCTGCAGGGAGTCGTGTTTATATTCCCCGGAGGCCCAGGCGGACTGAGCACTAGGCCTTCCCAGGTTCTGCAGCCCCTGTGGGCAGCTGACCATACGCCAGACTTCTTTGGTTCCGCCCTTCGAGGAGGCCAGGATCTGGACGGCAATGGATACCCTGGTAAGTTGTAGCCACTGCCCCTTCGTCTTAGAAGGTGCATTTCTAGGCAGCTGCCACTAGATGGTGCAGTCCCCTAGCTCAGGCTTCCTTGAGTCATGAAATTAGAAAGTTTAGGAAAAAAGGGTCCTAATTTGGGGCTTGCTGTGAAGGGTTGTATGTTGGCTTTTTGCAGATCTAATCGTTGGGTCATTCGGTGTGGACAAGGCTCTGGTGTACAGGTATGGACTCAGGGAGACTGAGGCAGCCTGGGGAACTGGAAATGCCCCTTTAGAACAAGGACTGGGAACGTGAGTGCAGAGGCAACTGGTGTCCTGGGGCCGGTGCCAGCCCTCAGAGGAGTTTTTTGTTTGTTTGTTTGTTTGTTTGTTTTTTTGAGACAGGATTTCTCTGTAGCTTTGGAGCCTGTCCTGGAACTAGCTCTGTAGACCAGGCTGGCCTTGAACTCACAGAGATCCGCCTGCCTTTGCCTCCCCCCCCCCCGCCAATGCTGGGGTTAAAGGCGTGCGCCACCACTGCCCAGCACCTCAGAGGAGTCTTAACTCTGTTTAACACACATCCACTCTCTGCAGGGGGCGGCCTATCGTGTCTGTCAGCTCATCTCTCACCATCTTTCCCTCCATGTTCAACCCAGAGGAGCGCAGTTGCAGCCTGGAAGGAAACCCTGTGTCCTGGTGAGCTGAGCCAGAACCCTGTTAGTGGGCAGGGGGCCATGTCTGCCTCAGGAAAGAACAAATGGGGGTGACCTAGTCAGGAGGGTCCAATTCCAGTTACACTCAGTGTTTTCTCTTCTGTCGTTCTCCAGCATCAACCTTAGCTTCTGCCTCAACGCCTCTGGAAAACACGTCCCCAACTCTATAGGTGAGGAAGACAGACCGTGGGGTGGGGTGCGAGGGCTGAGTCCGGCAGGTAGGAGGGACAGACTCACACCGCGTTTCCCGGCCACAGGTTTCGAGGTTGAACTCCAGCTGGACTGGCAGAAGCAGAAGGGAGGGATCCGACGGGCGCTCTTCCTGGCCTCCAAGCAGGCCACCCTTACCCAGACCCTGCTTATCCAGAATGGGGCTCGGGAAGACTGCAGGGAGATGAAGATCTACCTCAGGGTATGGGCTGAGAGTGCAGTTGGTGCCTGGACCTACAGAGCAATGGGGATTGTCAGATATGGGTCTTGAGAAGATTAAAAAAAGAAGCAAGACAAAGAAACAGGGCCACTGAAGCCTCAGAGTCCCTGATCTCGTGTACTCTCTACCCTGGTCCTAGAACGAGTCAGAATTCCGAGACAAACTCTCCCCAATTCACATTGCCCTCAACTTCTCCTTGGACCCCAAAGCCCCCATGGACAGCCATGGCCTGCGGCCAGTCCTACACTACCAGAGCAAGAGTCGGATAGAGGACAAGGTAAGGAAGGAACTTGGGAGGACAGGCCTGGCGCCTGAGGCAGGGCCCTGGGAAAAGGGTCGTAGGACCCTTCTCAAAGCTGTCCTGCTCCCCAGGCCCAGATCTTGCTGGACTGCGGTGAGGACAACATCTGTGTGCCTGACCTGCAGCTGGCTGTGTATGGGTGAGTGGGACTGTCACGTGACCAAGGGTCGGGGACAGCCTAGCTGGGAGTCTGCGAGCATCTCTGGCTGTCAGCTCTGTCCGTTTCTCTGACTCTAGACAGAGTAAGCGCAATGCCATACGTGCAGCTCCTCATGCTCACCAGAGCGAGGGCTCAGTCAGCAGGGCCACTCCGGCTGTGTGCTACCATGCCTGACTGCCTTGATTCGTGGATTCATTCTTCAGTGTCCTTACCCTGTGTCCCTCCAGGGAGAAGAAACAAGTGTACCTGGGTGACAAGAACTCGCTGAACCTGACATTCCATGCCCAGAATCTGGGTGAGGGTGGCGCCTATGAGGCTGAGCTTTGGGTCACAGCCCCTCTGGAGGCCGAGTACTCAGGACTTGTCAGACACCCAGGGGTGAGAAGGGACTCTCAAGTTGGGTGCAGTGGTGATCCCCTCCAGAGGGGTGCCAAAGCCTGAGTGGCCTGTGCCCACCTATCCCCAGAACTTTTCCAGCCTGAGCTGTGACTACTTTGCTGTGAACCAGAGCCGCCAGCTGGTGTGTGACCTGGGCAACCCCATGAAGGCAGGCGCCAGTGTAAGTCAGGAATAGAAGAGGAAGGGTGGGAGCAAGCCCAGGATGGGGTCCTACTGCCCCAGCATACAGCTGAGCACCCCATCTAACTGTCCTTTTTTCTCCCTGTTTCACAGCTTTGGGGTGGCCTTCGGTTCACTGTTCCTCATCTTCAAGACACAAAGAAAACCATCCAGTTCGACTTCCAGATTCTCAGGTAAGGAGGGACTGGAGTGGAGCTGGGACTGAGTTCAGAGGGAAAGAAGGGAGAGTGGGGACAGGTGGCAGACCCTGGTGCCTGGGGATTCTCATCAAAAGACTTCACTCTTGCCTCCATCCCACAGCAAGAACCTGAACAATTCACAAAGCAATGTGGTCTCCTTCCCACTCTCCGTGGAGGCTCAAGCCCAGGTCTCCCTTAATGGGTCAGTGCCCAAGCAGAATGGGGCCTTTAGAGGAAAGGGGGTGGATTTCTACAGAAGGACACTTGGATTCCTCTTGCCTGTTCTAAACCATGTTCCTCCTCAGTGTCTCCAAGCCTGAAGCTGTGATCTTCCCGGTTAGCGACTGGGACCCCCAAGACCAGCCTCAGAAGGAGGGAGACTTGGGCCCTGCTGTCCACCATGTCTATGAGGTGAGGAGGTCAGGAGACAAGCTGGTGGTCAAACCACATGAGGGGACAAAAGAGGACCACTATAAGTGACAGCAGCTAGGACCTGGGTCAGTGGAGAAGAGGGGACAGCCTGGTGAGTATGGAGAGCTTCTGACAGATGGCCAGAAGAGGAACACACCAGTCACAGACTTACAAGAGGTCACATGGGGATTTCTGTGAGTTCCAGGCCAGCCTGGGTACAGAGTAAGACCTTGTCTCAAAAGTAGGCTTTATAGCTGCCTTCAGATGTCCCTTCAGTTCTCAGTCCTGATGCAGTGTGTATGGGTTGTGACCCAGGCCTGCATATCGAGCCAGCCTTCCCTTCAGAGAATTGTATTGGAGGAGGGGCCACTTGTTTGTCCCTGTAGCCCGACTAGCTTAGACCCTAAATAACCACACAGAACCTGTATTAATTAAATCACTGCTTTACACTCAAGAGGCAGAGGCAGGCGGATCTCTGTGAGTAGCCTGGTCTACAAGAGCTAGTTCCAGGACAGGCTCCAAAGCTACAGAGAAACCCTATCTCAAAAAAAACAAACAAAAGTCACTGCTTGACCCATTAGCTTTTTTTCCTGCTGTTTATCAAACCATATTGGTCTGGAAGCAACCCACAGGTTCTCATCTTCTGTGGAAACAAGAGAAGAACCTCTTTTCAAAAGCAACATAGCCTTAGACTCAAATTTTAAAGTCATGATACCTTTATAATATACATGCTGGTTTTGCTTAGCAGCCTGTATAATAAAATGTCTCTCTATACTTAGCTCCTTCACAGTCAAAAAGTTCAAAGATAACAAATAATAGAGTTGTATTGTTCTCTCTCAGCTCATCAACCAGGGCCCCAGCTCCATCAGCCAGGGCGTACTGGAGCTTAGCTGTCCCCAGGCTCTGGAAGGCCAGCAGCTCCTCTATGTGACCAGGGTGACAGGACTCAGCAACTGTACCTCCAACTATTCCCCCAACTCACAAGGCCTGGAGGTAAGAACCTGGACTTATGGGGTGGTGGACTGGGGTGAGAAAGGCTGCCTGGAGGCTACTGGAAGTGGTGGGGAGATCTGGAAGGGAAAAAAAGGCCTGTATCCACTGCATTTCTGTCCTTTGTCCTGAAATAGCCTCCACTCTCTCCTGGTGTGCTCCCAGATCTGTGCCACCTTGACCTTCTGTGAGGCTTCAGACCTGTCCTCTGGCCCTCTGAGACTGTGTTTACTTGTCAACAACCCTTAATGAAGTAAGGGTTACAGTGAACACTGTTAGACCTAGGAAAACCCCCACACCAAATGAAAGTCACAAGGTCCTCTCACTCCTGGAGCTTGCATCTAACGAAGACTTGGTAAACAATAAGACATAAAAAGAAAAATAATTGGCTGATAAGAAGTGATGAAACCTGGCATGGTAGTCCCAGCACTTGGGAGGCGAGGCAGGAGGCTCAGGCATTCAGGGTTATCCTCAGCTGTATGCCTGAGGCCCTGAGAGAAAAAAGAAGATGGACAGAAAATAATTTAAAAAATGAAAAAAGCTAGCCGGGCGGTGGTGGCGCACACTTTTAATTCCAGCATTCAGGAGGCAGAGGTAAGCAGATCTCTGTGAGTTTGAGGCCAGCCTGGTCTACAAGAGCTAGTTCCAGGACAGGCACCAAAGCTACAGAGAAACCCTGTCTCGAAAAACCAAAAAGAAAAAAGGAAAAAACTACGCAGGTATGGTGGGCATGCCTGTCATTTCAGCACACCTATAATCTTAATCACCAGCACTTAGAGGAGGCTGGAGCAGGATAACCACAAATTTAAGGCCAGTCCAGTCTACATAGTGAGTTCCAGGACAGCCAAGGCCACATATTGAGAACTCTTGAAGGAAAGAAAGAAAACAGATAAGTGGACCTCTAGAAGAGGTAGCCTTAGCCGGGTAGGACACTTGGACATGCTAGTCCAAGACTCTAGGTTCAATCCCAGCATTGCTAAATCAACAAATCAAGTCATGATTCTAATGAAGCCTGAAAGACAAGGCTGAGGACATTCCCAACGGAGGAAACAGCCAGTACAAAGGCCCCGACGCAGGAAGGACTTAGTGATTCTTTACACTCCTGTTTCGTGCAGAACAAGGTGGAGGCCTTGTTCTTGGCAGTGGGTGGGTTGGCTGAACACAGGGACAGAGACAGAAGCAAGGCCCCTGCTCTGGAACTCAGGTTCAGGCTGATCTAGGTGCAATGAGTCAGGAGGGACATTTCTCTTCTTCCAGTTGGATCTGGAGAGTTCCCCACACCACCTGCAGAAACGAGAGGCTCCAGGCAGGAGTTCTACCGCCTCTGGGCCACAAGTCCTGGTAAGTCATTGCAGGGAATGAAGTTTGTCCCTAGCACTGGACACCCATTTGAGTTCTGAGGATCACCAGAGCAGTCTGGGCTCAGAGGCCTTCTTCCTTTACAGAAATGTCCTGAAGCCAAGTGCTTCAGGTTGCGTTGTGAATTTGGGCCACTGCACCGCCAAGAGAGCCGGAGTCTGCAGCTGCATTTCCGAGTCTGGGCCAAGACCTTCCTGCGGGTGAGGGAGCCCGGACCTCAACCTTTGCACCTAGTTGGGGTGACCTGCTCTTTCTCTGCTTTCTGCCCTTCCACCTCTGCTTTGGTAACCCTACAAACTACACAAACTACAATTCTCCCTCACCCTGGTTTAGGCCAGTTGTGCGTCCTTAGCGCCACCTTGTGGGCACAGAAAGAGCAACTGTTTCCCTTTCTGGTTCTGATAGAAAAAAGAAGAGCCCAGCATGGTGAGCATGATAGGACAGGCTCACCTTCAAACCAGCACTCAGGAGGAGAGAAACCATGTCTCAAAGAACTAAAAGGAAAAGCAAAGCAGTAGAGGGGATGGGAACACATGTCAGTGATAGTGCGTTCCCAATCCGTGGCTTTAAACACCAGAGCTGGGGCTGGGGAGCACTTACATGCAAGAATGAGGACCAGAGTTCAAAACCTCGGCATTCACATAAAAGAATGCCTAGCCAGTGTGGCAGCCACCTATATGTAGTCCCAGCACACAGGAGGCAAAAACGGAATCCCCACAGTTGGCTGACCAGACAGTTGAGGCAAACTGGTGATCTCGGGGCTCTGGGTTTGATGAGAGAATCCGACTCATTGTATGAGAAATCTGACATCAGTCTCTGATCCACCCATACATGTATCCACACACCATACACACGCATGCACATGAGAGAGAACACGTCTCAATGGATGAGACTTCAGCCTCTGAGCCCACCTCATGTTCACTCACATACACCACCCACGGGAAGGGAAGGAGGCCTGTGAGATGGCCTGGGGAGTGGGCAGAGGTGCCTGCCTCCAAGCCTAACATCTGAGTTTGATCTCCAGAACCCACATTACAGAAAGAGAGAACTGATTCCCTTTGTCCTCCATAGGTAAGCCTTGGGATGTGCATGCCCAACCACACACAAATAAATAAACAAATGTTTAGAAAAGAAAAAGAAAAGAGGATTGGGGAGATGGCTCAGTGAGTAAGCGAACTATATGTTCAAGCCTGACCACTTGGGCTCGATTCTTGGAACCCAAGGAAAAAGCTGAGTTTGGTGGGTCAGCCAGCCTGGGATATATAGCACAGTGACAGAAACAAGAGAGACCAGCCTCAAAAAACTAGAAGGAGAAAACTACCTTGTGAAGTTATCCTTTGATTCTACATGTGTGTCGTGGAACATGTGTGCTGGCATATGTACATGCATACACACATGCACACACAGAGAACACACAGGCACATAAATAACTGTAATTTTTGAAAAACAATTTTAAGAGGGCTGGAGAGATGACTCAGTGGTTAAGAGCACTGGCTGCTTTTCCAGAGGACCTGAGTTCAATTGCCAGCAACCACATGGTGGCTCACAGCCATCTGTAATGGGATCTAATGGCCTCTTCTGTCTGATGCCGTCTTCTGTCATGTAGGCATAAATACAAGTAGAGCACTCATATACTTAAAATACATAAGAAAATAAATCTTTAAAAAAAATTTAAGACAGTAGAAGGCAAGATGAATCCATAGCAAACAGACAAGGAGAAGCAGGAAGAGGGAAAAAAAACATTTACTGAACACACATTATGAACCATGTTAACCCATATCAACCATTAAAATATATATTGAAGACATCTAATTATGCATTATTCAGTTATAGTTACTCAACTTGACGATTATTATTTCTCATAAAAACATTAAGAGAATCAGAGTGAGTGAGTTCATAATCGGAAAGCTCACATCCCAGACAAGCTGGGGAGGCCCGTGTTCTCTAGATCCCGCAGGGGCTGCCCTGACCGCCTTTCTCCACCCACAGCGCGAACACCAGCCATTTAGCCTGCAGTGTGAGGCTGTGTATGAAGCCCTGAAGATGCCCTACCAAATCCTGCCTCAACAGCTGCCACAGAAGAAACTTCAGGTGAGTTCAAGGTCAGAGGTCTGGGACAGAGAAGAAGGCTCAAGAAAGTCAGCAGCAGGGTGAAGACGAGGGTATTTCCTCCCGTTGTAGGTTGAGATCAGCCAGATTAACATGGTGTCTTTGTAGTTCACACCCTGGAGGGCAGGGACATCAGTGTGACTCACAAGCCTGACAGTGAGTGGAAACACATAGAAATACCTGAACCCAGTCTCAGAGTCAGGAAAGAGTTCCTGGAAGGAGTGGTGTACAAGCTGAGGCCTGAAGAAACTAAACAGGCTGACTGTTCCGGAAAGGAAGATTCTGGTGGAGCGAACAGTAGACGCAAAAGCACAAAAACAAGAGACTTGGTGCACGCCTTTAACCCCAGCACTCAGGAAGCAGAGGCAGGCGGATCTCTCTGAGTTCAAGGCCAGCCTGGTCTACACAGTGAGTTCCAGGACAGCCAAAGCTACACCAAGAAACCATGTCTCTCAAAAAACAAAAACAAAAAAAGACACTGTGAACTTAAGACTCTTCTATCTTTAAGTTCAGAATGTTGTTAGCTAAAAATGAGAGTTAGATCCAGATCCAACAGCCGTTAGTAGCCAGGAATAGAGCGGAAAGAGTTTATGGATTCTCAGTGTCACTTGACTTATCCCCAGGTGGCCACAGCCGTGCAGTGGACCAAGGCAGAAGGCAGCAATGGCGTCCCCTTGTGGATCATTGTCCTAGCCATCCTTTTTGGGCTCCTGCTCCTAGGTCTACTCATCTACGTCCTCTACAAGGTCAGCCACACCCTGCCCCGGCCTGGCTACCCTCCTACCAGGCCCTGCCTTTTACACAGTAGAATCCAAGAAGCCACCCTCAGATCTGTTTTCCAGCACAGGCCCCATCTCTGCCCTGGCTACTTATACCCATCCTGTCTTTTACTATTGGACCCCTCTTTTCAGTCTGCAGCCCCCAATTTAGAAAGAAGCCTCCTGTCTCAGAATAAGTTTGCCAATATTGCAGAACTGCAGATGGCAAACAGTGACGGCATTTGTGCTTTTGTTTCCTCGACAGCTCTGTGGCAGCTAACAACAAATGATCATAGTCTGCAGGTGGCCGCCACCGCTAGGCAATCAGACGTAGCGCTTGAGTTGAACCTGTTTACCCCTTCTGACTTAACTGCTAGAATTTTTAAAACTCTGATAAAAAGATTGCCCCATAATAAATCCCTGATTTTAGACCTCCCACATCCAAACGCGGGTATTCAGAAGCCACTTTTGCAGGATGGGGAAGCCAGAGGCGGGACGGTCCTCATCCCCTGGGTCCCGCGTTGAGTGAATGTGGCCTCTCATTGTGCCTCCTTTCTCTTCAGCTTGGCTTCTTCAAACGCTCCCTCCCATACGGCACAGCCATGGAAAAAGCTCAGCTCAAGCCTCCAGCCACCTCAGATGCCTGAGTCCTCCTGATCCCAGACTCCTGATCCTGAAGAGCCAGTCCCCTACCTGCCAACAGGGAGGGACCAGGCACTTCCTGAAGGTGCTGAGAGCTGGGGAGACTCTGTTCTCCTTAGCCCAAAGACATACTTGAAGGGCCAGAGATGGGGGACGAGAAGCTGGAGATGTGTCCCCCATGCACTGTGAAGGACCCTCGTTTACACATGCCCTCTCATGGATGGGGGCCTCAGGGCCAGGGACAGAAGCCTCAGCCTTCCTTCAGCCTTGCGTTTTGGAGACTTATGAAAGCTACTTGGAGCCATAATAGGAGATCCAGCAGTGGTTCCCTGGGCCAGACATACCGCCAGGACTTCTTGTCTGGTTCCAGCCTGCAGCTAAGAGTCTGAGACTTAGGGTAGTGAGACCTGGCAGCTCCGGTAGACCCCATCCTGGAGGGCCAATAAAGAACACTAACCATGGACGGTGCCGCAGGGCCAGCTCAGGACAAATCCCGTACCCAGGTCTGGGAAGTCACGAGAACGGAACCAGACCTAGGCTGGGGCCTGGGGTCGGTCTGGAGCCCAGTCTCAGATTTTAAGAACCTGCGCTCACAGGATGGCATTTGGGTTAGCTGCAGATTCATCCCTGACTTAGGACAAGTCAGGAATTTCCCAGGACCCTAACCAGGTCACAGTGGCAACAGATCTGGAACCTCAGCCTGTCCAGACACAGGCTCACTCATTCCCCAGAAAACGGGGAGCCCCAGGCCTGCGGACCTGGGTTCTGCCCCCCAGCTGCACTGATGCTGCCCCTTCCTCCCTCCCCACCCTCTCCTCTGCTCCAGAACCCACTCCCAACTTATTTAAACTCTGTTGCAAGTGCAATAAACCCCACCCACTGCCCCCACTGACCAAAGTTGCTGTCTGTCCTTCTATCCTAACTCTCCAGACCCATCCTAGACCCAGAAAGCAGGGCAAAAGAGAAATATCTGTCTCCCATGGGCCTGTTCCCACTAGGAACTAGGTATGTTAGCCTAGCACCTGCTTTCAATCCCAGAATTCTAGAGGGAGAGGCCGGAGGGTCAGTTCAAGGTCAGGGAGAGAACCTGTAGGAGGGAAGGCCTGAAAAGAAGGCTCAGAGGTTAAGAGTCAATTCCTAGCAATCACTTGGTAGCTCACAACCATCTATAATAAGATCTGGTGCCCACTTCTGGCCTTCAGGCAGAACACTATATATAATAAATCTTTAAAAAAAAATAGAAGGGAAGAAAGGAGCCCTGTAGTGGTGGTGCACTCCTTTAATCCCGGTCCTCAAGAGACAGAGGCAGGCAATCTCTGAAACAGAGGCTAGTCTGGTCTACAGAGTGAGTTCTAGAACAGCCAGGACTACACAGAGAAACGCTGTCTTAAAAAAAAAGGGGGGAGCTTATCTCTGTTGTTCCTCATCCAGCCCCCACCAGATCTGGGCTTCCCTACCACCAAGGAGCAAAGAAGGAAATCTCTTCTCTTTGAGGGTTGAGGGTTATGGAAGAATGCAGAGAGGTCCCATTGAGAGGTGAGGAAAGATTATACAAAGCACTCACCAGGGTTTCCCTTAAGTCAAAAAAATAAGATGAAAAGAAAGCCCATTAGTTTTTTTCTGTTTGCCTTGCATATTTTGTGTGAATACATGCCACACACAAATAACAGAGGTTCAGAGACAATCTACAGGACTTAGTCTTCTTCCACATGAGTTTAAGAGTCAAAGTCAGGCCTGGCAGTGGTGACTCCCCCCCCCCATTTTAATCCCAGCACTTGGGAGGTAGAGACAGGGGGATCTCTGAGTTCGAGGCCAGCCTGATCTACAGAGCAAGTTCAAGTTCAACAGGCTTCATAGCTACATCGAGAAACCCTGTCTTGAAAAAAAAAAAAAGAATCAAACTCAGGTCTTCAAACTTGATGACAACAACCTTTAATCCCCAGTCTGCTGTGGAGTTTTGTATTGGAGTTACTGTTGTGTGCAAGGGTGAGGTGAGGGGTATTAAATACTTCACGTGTGCACGTGTGTGTCCTTGTCAGAAGACAACCTTGAACTTGAACGTTGGCCCTAGTCTTCCACCTTGCTTAAGGCAGCATCTCTTGTTTACTGCCGAAGACCACAGACTAGCCGGCCTGGGGTGGGTGCAATGAGATCTCAGACACATGCAATTATACAAGTCAACCTTTTATGTGAGTTCTGGGGATCTGAACCCAAGTTGTCAGGCTTGCATCTAAGCTCATACAACCCTGTGATGTCCTGGAGCTTATGTAACTTGCCCAAGGTCACACTGCAAAGCAAAACCAGTAGTCTGCTCACGTAGTACCGGACTGTGACACTCCCTATTCTTAACCAATGTGCCAAACACTGGAGAACTCAAGTTTTCCAAAGAGGGAACCGGCACCGTGAAAGCCTCTTTCTCAAGGTCTGTCCTGAAGTGCACAGAGCTGAAAAGGGCAAAGCTGGTTATGTCTTGCTAGACCAGAATCTTACCACCAGAGGGCAGGATAACCACAAATTTCTGGGAATCTGGCAGAGCGGTGTGAGACCCAACTCCCCTCAGCAGGGCTGTTATTATTAACTCATACCCTTAGGACACCTTCAAATAGTCCTCCAGGTTAGCTACGTGAACCACACTCCAGACTAAGTGTCTTTCCAGAACCCACAAGGAAAAGGAGTGAGGTTGAGGTAGCAGAGACACACCAAGGACAGCAGGAATTTTCAAGGGAGATCCTACTGGGGAAGGCTGACACCAACTCTAGGGACTGGATCTGAAATGTCTCCCGTTGTAATGAGGAGGAAATGAAGAAGGGAAGTGGGCTGGGACTTGGTGTCATAGGTGTGTCGGTGTATGGTGCCTTTGCTTCTGAGGGTGGCTTACGGAGTTCCTTGGGCTCAGGCATGCCACAGATATGATCTAGCACCAGCAGCATCCCTGAGCAAACTTCTTTCCTCTTTCCTGAGCTGAGCTGCCTGTCCTCGTCTCCCTACCCTGCAGACACATGCCTCACACTCTGGAGTCTGAGCAACCCAGAGGAGCAGGTAGGCTGGAGATCGCCGCCTGAACCCTCTCCTTGTCTGCGTTGGTGGAGGTGGAAAAGAGGGGAGAAGGAAGTGAACAGAGCAGCTGGAGATGTGGGAGGGGGAAGGGGCTCAAAAGAGGCAGCTGGCAGGCGGGAAGATGATCTGGGGGTCTCAAGTTTCTTAACATCAATTAAGGCAGTCGGCCTGGACTCATTAGTAGCCTGGGGTGCAGGGCTCATCAATAATGAATTCACCCCCCACACAATGCTCCCCCTCCCAGCTGCTTGCAAGGTCACCCCACCCTCCAGCCAGCTGCCTCCCTTAGTAAGCTAAGCAACCCCTCCTTTGAGTTCTGCCTAACTCAGAGAGCCTAGAGACACTGTGGGCAGGTGGATGAGGCCTGAAGGGCAAAGGTTCTCTCAGATCATCCAAGACCAGTGCTGGCCCTTGTCTACTTTGTCTCTTCCCTGGGGGTGGACCTGAAAGAGGAGGGACTGAATCTAAGAAGCCAGATTTCTGTTATAGAAGTGCAGTGGGATCCTGACAGGTTAGATTAAAAGCAAGAAGATTGCCTCTGGAGGACACAGAGGTCCCACCCAGGTCTTCAAACCAGGACCACAGGACCCAAAGACCAAAGTGTCGGCATCCATCATCCACTCAGCCTTGAGCTGGAGCATCCGGACAGTTGCAAACAGCTTTTCACACAAGGAAAGCAGACATTGCTGGAGCTCGCGATAGGAACCCAAACTTTCGGCACCCTAGTTGGCCATCAAGCCCCAACTTCCCTCCAGAAGCTAGAAATGCCCTCCTTTCCTGAAGGTTTCTGGATCCAATCCTACCACCCTTGACCCCGGTCTCCACCCTTGCCTCCACCATCCCTAACCCCCCACCCCCCAGTGTTCCAATTCCCAGTCTCATCCCCTTTCCCTCTGGCTAGGGTTGGCCTAAAGCTGGCTGCTTGGCCTTCTGGGAACTTGGCCGGCTGCCCTCCCTCTTGTGGCAGGTACAGACAGGTTCAGGCTGCAGCAGCTACATCTTCCCCAGATACCTCCTTGACTCTCACACTCCAGCCTCCTCCTACTTGACTTAAGAACACCCGATCCTAAGACGTTCTCCCCAGTCATTTACACCCCTGCTACCTGACTCACAGCTCTCCTTGGTGGAGAATGTCCTGCATCTAAACTCGAGATAGATACTCCTCCTCCCCAACTCAGTCCAGGACATCTCTAGAAGGTTGTTTCTTGCTGATTCTGACTTTCTGTCGTTTTTCAAATGCCCTAGCGATCGCCACTGCAAGCGCCTATTTATTTCTACTTCCTCAGGACCAGGGCCACTGATTTCAGTCTCTTCCCTCGGAGATCCACCTCGGATCCCTCTTCAGACCCCAAACTCACCTCTGATACCCAGTCCCGACATCCTGCTCCGAAGCGGAAGAACAAACTAGGAGCCAGGCATCCTCACTGCATTCCCTGGACACAGTGGGACATCACTATTCCACTCAACCCGGCCTCTGACCCCTCCCGGAGCATTTAGAATCCCGGCCCCCTATCTGCCGAGAATGCGTCTTCCTGCCCTCATACTGAACCCCTCGGGAACCTAAGCATTTTAGTTTCCAGCCTCCTCCATCGCCTCACACATCTTGATCCCCAGCACCAGCTAAAGCGACATCGTAAAGCCCAGAGATTGGGGGCGGCAACCGAAAGGTTGAAGGAAGTGGGAGGCGGCCAGGACGCCTTCTCGCCTTCTCGCCGAGCCCTGGGTGCCAGGGTGCCCCCTCCGGTCTTCACCTGCTGTGGGCCCCGCCCCCGCTCCGCCTCGGCCCGCCCTGCTCCTTCCCGACTCCTCCCTCCCGTACCCCCAGTCCGGCCAGAACGGCCCCCGGGACAGAACGACGCAGAACCCCGGGCGCCTGGGTCCTCAGCATGATCCTCGGTGAGTGGTCTCCGCGGCTCTGGGCTCCGGGTATCTAGTTCCCTCTCACTGGGTCACCTCCCCCGCCTCCACCTCGGCACCGCGGTGACTGCGGCCGCCTGTCTGCCACCCGTTCCCCCTCCCCCCTCATCTGGATGCACATCTGGGGTCCCCTCTTCCCCTCCTTCGCTAGCTGCGGCTTCTCCTGGTAATCTTAGGGAGGGGCAAAAGGAAGGCCGAGAGAGTGAGACCCCCCGCCCCATAATGAGAGTATTGCGTATTCATGAGGCTCATGAATATTATAAGTGTATGAGAGACTGGGGAAGGGGGCTGGTCCTGGCCTGGTGGAGTTGAGGTAAAGGTTCTGACCCGTCACCCCCAGCGCCTTCCCCCACCCTTGGCTTTGGCACTCTGACAGCCTTCTGGGCCCAGGATAAGAAGGAAAGGAGGAAGTGGGGACCGGAGGGAGAAGATGTTGGGTGTAGCTTCGAGGTGAGTGTGGTGGGAGGTAGGAACCTGACCGGTGAAGATAAGGGGGCTGGGTAAAAGAGCGGGTGGGAAACTGTCCATCTCCGTCTCTTGCGGCTTAGAACCTGTCTCCGCAGCCATCCTGCCCCGACACGCCAGGACCTGCCCCTCTCTCCCTGCGCCGGCTGCCTGGGCCCTTCTTCCCCTCTTTCTCCTTCCCTTCCACCCCAGACCTGGGTCGGGGACTACAGGAGACCGAGGGACGAAGGAAAGTCGGAGTGGGGGAAGGGAAGTCCCGCTGGGCTCTGACAGCCAGCCCGTCAGCCTTGGCCACCCCATCTTCATGACCTACATCGGAAAGGGAGCCCCAGGGATGGGGGAGGAGAGGGCCTAGCTGTACTCCCGGCTCTGCAGCAGCCCCTGCCCACAACCCTGCCGCCACAGCAGTGAAAAGCCTGCTATGACCTCTGACCTCCACCCTGGCTAGGCCGGTTCCAGGACCCTGTTTATGGTGGAGCCCCCAACACTCTCAGACACCTGTGGTCTCCCTGCCCCCACGGAGGACACCTGGCTCTACGCTGATAGGCTATGCCTGGCTCTCATCCCTCTTTCCATTGACTGTGTGTCCCACTAACTCTACTAGGGTCTTTCCCACTCGGCCCTCCTCCCTCCATCTAGCTACGGTGTGGTCTCCGCCTCTCTGTGACTTTGATGCCTTACCTCCAGCTGGCCATCCAGCTACTTAAATGAATGAGAGAATCAAGGCATGAATGTCTGTCACCCACCTGTCTCTAGCAGGTGATCTGCCCTTCTATGACTACTGCTCCAACTCCAGGGGACACCCCAATACAGTTCAGACTCAGGACTCCAACACATAGGCTCCACATTCTGCCAGCCTGTGTGATTCCTGTGTTCTAACTGTACCTTGAGCCAGGTGAAGAGTCCACATCGTGCTTGCCCAGAGCAGGCAAGGCTAAACCTTATGGTCCCAGTCAGAAGGCCCCAGATAACTAAGTGTCAGAGACCTGGTAGAGCCCTGCCAACACCCAGCCACAAGAAGACTGAATCCAAATTCTCTGATATTGGACCCTGCCACCAACTGGCCTCTACCATCTCCCTGGAGGACACTATAAATAACTCCTTCCTGTGCCAAGTCCATAGAGGGTTGGGAGCACCCCCCCCCCCATATCCCAACCCTCTTTAAGAAGAAGAAGCGGGTGGCCTGCTTGCCAGGACCCAAGACCTACCTTTAAAAGCATAGGAGGGTATTCGGGTCTGAATGCTAAGGTCCTTGATGCTTTTCCAAGGCAATCCTACCTAGCTCAGCTGAATGTGGGCGCTTAGGCCTATAATCTCAGCAGTCTAAGGGAGGAGAGAGGTTATTGGAAGTTGAGGCCAGTCTGCCTACAAAGTGAGTTCAAGGCCAGCATGGCCTATAGAGTGAGAACTCGCCTCAAAACAAAATTAAAACACACAAGAATGAGGGCCTCAGCAGGTCCCTGGTGGCACATACCTTTAATTCCAGCACTGGGGGTGGAGGAGGCAGGTGGATCTCTGTTAGTTCGAGGACAACCTGGTCTTCAGAGTTAGTTCCAGGACAGCCAGAGCTACACAGAGAAAC